GAAGCATAGCCCCTCTGCAAGGAGGGAAAGCCTCTGGGTGTTGTGGGGAAATAACACGTCCTCCTGCTAGAGTTACCGTAACAATCCGTAGAATAATAGAAGAATATTCTGAGAAGTGCATGAAGCTACTTGACAGCATCTAAGAGTCCTCTCTGGGGAAGAGGCAAGCTGGCCGAGCCTCGGTAGCTGGTGCTGGCTCAGGCCATTCACCACACTGCGAGGGACAAACGCCAGCACAAGAAAGAAAGGCAAAGCACAGGTGCCCTGGCCCCTGGGATGTGTCTGAGACAATAACTTATTCCCAGCAGGCAGGGAAGACTGTTTGTCAGATAATTGGTTTGTTCAGCCTCTGCAGGGGAGAGCAGGGTGCCCGGTCCCCCAGGGCCTGGAGAGGCCAGCCTGGACACGGGGCCAGGCCTGACCTAGGCAACAGGCACGTCTGGAGGTGGAAACATTTGAGAAAACCTTTTTATAGAACTAAGGAGTAATTTATCTTTTAAAGGTTGGAGCCAATGGCTGTAACATGATTTATATGACAGCTTGAGCCATTCTTCAATCCTGTATCAATAGGTTCCAAAGAATTACAGCCTGTAGCATAGATGGGTGCTTAGGCACTAAGAAGTATTTTCACAGTGGAAGCCCTAAGGAGAGTTCAACTAAGAGCACCTATAAGATTCTCTCACAGCACCCGTACAATATTTCACCTCCCAGAACAATTAGCTTTTGCAACTTAAGACGTTCAACAGATTTAGCAAGTGTTAGTGGTGACAGTCTTGAGGAAAGGTAAAGAGTGTTAAATAAACCCCCGCCTGTGCCTTCCCATGGCTATCTGTGTGTGCTAACAGTTACTTTTCCAGCTTGTATGACACAGCTATCTGTTGACCATCGTAACTGTTTACTCTTGGCAGGCTGCTCAGCAGAAAGCTTTAAGAATAGCTGCCATAAACTACACGCATCCTTTACCCTAGCTGTAATAAGAGGCTATTTATATCCACATTGCCAAGATTCTCCTCTTTCTTGAAGGAGTAAAAGAATTTAAACCTGTTCTATCCCTGTGGGTAGGATTTTCCTTAAAAAGGCAGCAAACTGATAAAGCAGGCACCAATACAATTATTCTGTAGCTGGTGAAGGGCTTCCACTTTTACAGAACGATCATCTTCCAAAAAAGGAAACATGTAACACATACCTATTTCGATATTAGTGTGCTGGATGTCAAAGCTTATTAACATTCTGTAACCAAACAAATGGGTGACTGCAGATGTCACCGATTTTGAAGTAAGGGTGCACTTCTGGAAGAGTTCAGCTGCTTTTGTACATTACTCTCTTGTCTACTAGCTCCTTCTAGTGGCCTCCTCTAGGATCTACAATTACTTGATTACCGAAAACCTTCCTAACCTGCTTCAAGTTCTCAACAAACTTGGTTTAGCCATGCGTCCAGACACCAAAACAGCAGACAAACTTGTTTGAGGAGCAGCAACAGCTTTCAGCAAGGTATACGCAGGGAGACAGTTTATTTCCCTCTAACTTCTCAGGCTTCCTGTACGCCAGAGAAAACCACTCTGCACAACACAGCAAGATCTGTGGAGGACGAGCATGAGAAGCCTAATGCCTGAAAATGGTGCTGGGAGAGTTGGTGCTCGTGGCATTTGCTGGCAGTTTTACACGGGCTCTCCAAGCTTGATGCAATTAAGTCTCCAATTCAGAATTTTCAAGAACATATAGAACACGATAGCTTCTATTCTCCTGCAACAACTTTAGGATTTTCTCCTACACATTATGCTCTGCAGGATCCCCACTTCCTAAAATTGTTCTGTAAAGTGATGAGAGAACTTCATGGGTGCTCTTAGACAGCTGAATTCTCATTTTAAGTGTCTACAACATGAACCTATTAAAAAAACCCAAACCAAATTTAAGATCCTTAGGCAATTACTCCAAGCAGGCTCCAAAGTGTATTTTACCTGGCATGTTAATGTAAGAGCAATATACTGCTCTTTGTTTATTGCAGCATAAACTATAGAAAAAACAATTGACACATACTTTAAAGGAAATGCTTTCTGAACTTGCCATTGCCTCCCCAACACACAGTTAGTGACAGCTCTCTGCATCTCTGGTAGTGGTGGCAGTAGTTTGGAAATGGTGAAGACTAGAACTAAATATATAAAATTTATTAAAAAATAGAAAGAGTTAACTGTTGGTAACTTGACAGTTTGACCGTGTCCAGAAGCACAGTGCTTCACTGTTCATCCTCAATATGCCTATTCATATTTGGTTTCCATTAAAAGCATTCAACTTAACTATCCACACTCCCCTAGCGACTGCTTTCCACACCAAGATTTAGCATACCTGAAGGTTTTCAGCATCCTCCCTCCATTGCACACATGTACCACTGATCACAGAAGGTACTTCCACATTATAAACAAAGTTACAGCATACCTTCTTTAACTAGCACAAAGGCATAACTACCTGTATAAGCTATTCATTGTCAGCTGTGTGAACTGCCACCTTCTCAAAGAAGCAGCTGACAGAGGGACACATTTGAATTACAGCATTTAAATTTTTTTCTTGTCTAACCAAGAGTTGGCTGTCCATTTACAACCCAAGCACTCTGCAGCCTATTAAAATGATTTCCTAATATACCCTCTTGCCTCAAGGGTGAAAGACCTTACCCGATTTCCCAAGACTTACGCTGGATTTCAAGGTTCAGCTGGCCTGCCTAGTTTCTGAAGCATGTCTGTGGATTCCACCCTTTTAAGACCAACACAATTAATCAAAACAGTAAAAGAAGGAATGCTATAGTAAATTAAGATCAGATTGCGGCCGAGTTGGTGCGATGTGCTGTCAGATACAGCTGTCTGCACCTCTTAAGTTCAATAGCAGCACAGAATTCCTTCTAGTACAGTTAGAAATTACCTCCAGAACAAAGGAACTGCTTAAATGGCAGCCTGGTATGAAGATTATCTTCAGTGTGTGAGACAGCTTGATACCTGCATACCTGTATGTTTTTAGTCACTTCATGCCTTACGCATGGTGAAAGAATAATAAAATTCTGGAGACCAAAGTTTTGTACAAACTTGAGCACACTGCATCCATCTCCTAGAAACAATCCAAGGAGAACACCTGAACAGGAACAGCACATTTGGAGGTGTTCAAAAAACCACAGATATGACACTTCAGTTTATGGTTCAGTAGTCGCCAAGGTAGTATCAGGCTGATGGTTGGACTTGCTCTTAGGGGTCTTTTCCAACCTTAATGATTTTATGATCTCAGATACTGAATTATTCTTGCCAAAGAATAATCTATCTATGCCAAACTTACGTTACAACAGTCATTAGAAACAAATCAAACTACGAAAATTCTCATTACATACCCATACAATACAGTTATGAAAGAACTGAAGAAACAGGCCATTCCCTGTTTATAACCACTTAAATTTTATTTTACAGTATATTTGTGACATTTTATGTTACTATAACCAAAGATCAGGGTTGTTTACAAATATAATGGCTGCCATTTGATGTAAACAATTAAAAAGTCTCTCTAAATATTAAAATTTTACATCATGGTTTTGGTTTATTAAATTGAATTACTCTTTGTGCCATCAGGTATTAGTGGAGAGGAACTAATGTAAGCAAAAATAGTTTTCAGAAATTAGATGTAGAAACTGAGAAGCCTGAATAAGATTCCAAAAGACCACTCCCCCCATCACTGTCAAAAGGAAGAAAGCAAATTCTTTCACTGAAGTTGCAATGAAGAATCAACCAAGTCCATTTTTATTAAGGCTTCTTTACATATTATTGAATCCCATCATGCCTTTCATATTCCCAGCAGCACCTTGTTGAAATTGTCTCATCATTGACTGCAATCCTGCCATGCCACCTGCAGAAAATAAGTAAAAACATGAACATGCTGATTAACTACTCCCAGGTGCAGCTATCTTGCTTCTGAGGCATCATTACAGCCCACAAACGCTATTTCAGTAACATCCAAGTGCAAAAGGCCAAGACTGGCAAGTCAGGCTTAAACAGCTGTTGAAAATGGGCAACCAAGTAATTACCACAAGGTCTGCAAAACACCAGGCTTCAAGTGGGTGTTAAGATGACCCCATGCATTAAGGTCTAGTTCAAAAGAAAAAAACTTGGAGGAACAATTAGTAAGGTTACGGTCTTGATTTAAAGCTGCTCTTGTCTAATTGAATTATTTGAGGCAAAGCTTAAAAGAGAAATTTAGAAATAGATTTGCTTTACCACAGTCACACTTCAAGTCACCACTTTATTTCAGACATCACTCCAACTGCTCATTTTGAGAGCTGAATCCAAATGAAGCGACTAGATTAAACACTGGTAAGTACAACACATTCATAACACATAGACTAAACTTTAAATCTTGTTAGGAAAACCTAGAAATACTTAATACTGATATATGATCCACATAGTCTCACATTATCTTCCTCATTTCTATATTTCAAATGCTCCACCATAACTAGTAGTCCTCTCCTGAAACCGTAAAAAGCCACATACCCATATGATGAAGAACTCTTGGATCCATCATCTTCGCCATCTGTTGGTTCAGTTTGGCCAACTGAGATGGGTTTACATTCTTTGACATATCACCACCTAAAAAAATAAAGGCAGCAACGGTGGAAAAAAAAAGTGTATTAATACACGGAGTAAAATTAAAATAAATCAGTTTTACCTCCTTATTCTAGGTTCAAATCCATTTGAGTCCATGATCAAAAGTTACTACATCTGCCACTCAAAAGTGTTTTTAAAGATCAACAGTCCCTGTGCCCCATGTAGCAAACCAAAGTGTACTGAGGAGCAATCACATCGACATTGATAAAGCCAAAACCACAGTAGCTTTCACTGCTGAGTTACAGTTAGTGTCACAAAGAACAGTGCAGCTTTTATAAGCTACGTAAGAGCTTTCGGTCATGAAAATCAGTGAGCTACAATTCCTTTTCTCCACTCCCAAGGCCTAATTGACATTTTCACACTGCCTGCACTCACACATCAAGTGACCTCCCCACTCAAAGTGGTTTTTTTGGTTAGCTGGGGTTTTTTTACCTTTGAAAAGCCCTTTAATGCCTCCCATCTTCTTCACCATCTGTGCAAACTTAGTATATTGGGTCAAAAGCTCTTGAACATCTCTGGTAGAAACACCTGAACCTCTTGCTACTCTTTGGATTCTTCCTGGCTGCTTACTGAAAACTTTGGCACCATCTGTACTGTCAAGTTCTGCAATTACAATGTGGAAAAGAAATATCCATTCAGTTAGTGACATTAACACCTGCTAAAGCTGATAGCAAACTCATTCTCATTGTTAAGAATTTAATTTTTAGATTGAGAACACAAACCTAGTTTTAGATGTGACAATGCAAAATTCTACATAAATAACTGAGATACAGTACTCTAAGGAATAGTATTAGAAGAAGCTGTTATGTTCATTTGTTGACCGCCATAACAGAAAAAGTCATACAAGTTATGCTCTCAGTCTTAAGGCGTATTAATGGGTTTAGCACAAGGGTAAGAGTGTATTTCTCCTGCCAGAGTTATGGGTGTATTAGAAACAACACAACTTGAGTTCCAGAGACCAGGCTATGTCACCAAGTAAATTTGAGGGTGGGTAGGAAGAAAGATGGCAATGAGAGGTTAAAAACAAATGTAGCTTTTTAATTTGCAAGTACAGCATTAATAGCTTGGGACATTACAGCATGAAAAATAAAACCCACACTAATTTCCAACAGAATGCTTCAAAGTCCCATCTACTCTACACAAGACAGAGAAGCAATAGACAATTGTCAAAGAATCTCTCTAAATATTCAGACTTATTCAGAAAGCTGGAGACATTAACTCTTTGCCATTTCTCAAAGTGATGAGCACTCGTCAATATTTTCTGTCACTGTAGATGCTGCCTTATGTCCACCTTGTTTCCAAGAAGATCGCTGTAAATAAGTTTGTTCAATAATGAGAGTGCAAAAAAAATAGCAGGTGAAGTGTGTTTTACCTTGGTCATTCATACTGTCCATTATAGTCATCAGTTTCTTTAGCCTTGCCATTGATTCCTGTTCATTGCCTTTACTCATAAAGTCAGTTCCGAAACCAGGGATCATACCCTTGTTTTAAAAATGGAAAAAAAAAAGCTGTGTCAAAATAGACAAAGCTAAATTTAAGCAGCCAGAAACATGGACAGCAAGTTTTAGTTCAGTAGTTATATATCTCAATAGGCAAACTATTTCACCTTTTTGAAAAACATAAAGCAGACTAACATCAGTTTCAATGAAGAGTTTGAAGTTCACAGCAGGAGTTTGACAAATATAAATGAAAATCTGATAAACCAAAACTACTTTGGGTATAACTAACCAAGATCTGACTGAACGGTCCCATTTTCATGATGTTTTGAAATTGTTCATACATATCTCTTAACGTAAATTGACCTGAAGTAAAAAAAAAAAAAATATTGTCAGAAATCACACTAGCATTTTTGTCTCACTGTCTGTTCTCATTTACTCTTTACATTTACAAAGTAAATACTATACTGTAAAGATAAGTAGATAAACCTCTTCCTCCACTATTAACATGGCTAAGCCATTTTAGACAGCACACACCTAAGAGTTAAGCTAGCTGTTCTACAGTTATTGACAGCTGTAGTCTGACAGACTTTTCACTAAAAAACATGATTTACTTGCCCACCACATTGATTAGCAAAACAATGACTATTCTTAACTACGTGCATCAAAAAAGTTACCTGCCTCTACACATAACACAAATTAACACAGTGGTCTACATCTCAGAGAACCTCCCACGGTTAGGTCACGGCAATACAGTCGCTATTCGGGCCTTGAGGAAAAAAGCTTACCGTGTTTGAGCTTCTCTATGAGTGCTTCGTTATCATCCAACTTCAACTCATTTACCTTGTCTATCAATCCTTCAATATCACCCATACCTTGGAGAAAAAATAAACAGGACTGAAGTTAGCATTAATAAAAATCACACTTTAACTGTCTATTTTCCAATTCAAAGCGTCTTTTAAGTCCAGTTGTACATAGTACATACCAAGAAGTTTGCTGATGAAAGGCTGTGTTTTGAAGGGTTCAAAGTCATCTATGTGCTCACCAGTTCCAATAAAAATAATAGGACTCTTTGTGGCAGCAACTCTGCAGTAAAATATATTGTATGAAATGGTATCTCAAACCTCACCCATCTTTTGTACCACCCATTAACATAACCAGCCAGGCATCATCAACACAACGCATCCTCTCTGAATAATCTGTCTTACTCCTCAAACTATCAATGCGAAACCATCCAGCATTCAGGATGAGCAGCTGGGAGTAGTGACAGGCTATGAGTACTTTGTAAAATACAAACTCTGCTTTGAAAAGTCAACATAAATAGAGTTTATTCTCACTGAGTTTAAGAAATCTGAAAGGAAAGAAAGAAAAATAATTTTATCCTAATATTGGGAGTCAGATGAGACAGGCACTGACGACTTTTACTTTAGGGTACCTCCTACAACAGGCAGCCATCTCATTTTCAACACAGGAAAAAAGCTTAGACCTTTTCATCAATAAATGACTGGCACTAGCTTTTAGATGGAACTCAGCTTGCAGGCTGCAGAATGTATAGAACAAACACCTAATGCATACAAGTGCATGACATCCGGAACAAGCTTTCAGTATTTTAATTTTGCTTTTCAGTTTAATCTACTTTTCATCGATAAATGACTGGCACTAGCTTTTAGATGAACTCAGCTTGCAGGCTGCAGAATGTACAGAACAAACACTTAATGCATACAAGTGCATGACATCCGGAACAAGCTTTCAGTATTTTGCTTTTCAGTTTAATCTACCATCACTATGCTGTAACTAACAGCAAAACATATATGGCAGTTTAAGAACTCTAATATGCAAGATCAAAGAAAATGAATTAGTAAGTAGGTGTCAGTTAACCTTCAACTGTTTTGACAAATTATTTCAGCTCCATACAAGCTGTATCACTGAAATGCTGCTAGAGGTAAGTCTGAAATACATCATAAGGCTGATAACATTTTCTAGTCAGTCTGCCAAGATACAGCACACAGTAGTCCAACAAGAACAGAATTCAGGAAAGTATGAGTGTAGACTAATTTTTTACCAAATGGCTGGACAATTGCAATAGAGGAGTTTAATTTGCATTGCAGTTTCAAGGTCATTACATGTGACTAGCTAAGTTCCTCCCCTTTTGAAAAAAATCTTGGTCATTAAACAAGAAGCAAAGAACTTTTCAGGTAAGCCATAACTGCTAAGACCAAACTTTTTTGGTAAAAAAATCCTGACGCTCAAGATGTAATAATACAATTGCTTGATGCTGTTTTTGGAGGACAGAAGTCTGACATGTGACAATACACTACTGTAATGGAATTATATCATAATATCCAATTCTGACTGACGTTAAATGTCAATGGATGAGCCTATCCACCAGAAGTAGGGTAAGAACATAACTGTTACCGATGTCAATCTCAGATTCTCTGCAGTGTGACAGTGACACTTTCACAGGACCAGTTTCTGTGAGACACTAACACATTTCATGGCTGTCCATGCATGGCCAGGTGTTGGACACTATTGTATCACAATACTTACGCACTAAGAGCTCCACCTCCTTTGGCATGTCCATCGAGCTTCGTCACAATAACAGAAGCTACATCTACTTTATCTTTGAAAGCTTTAGCTTGAGCTTCACAAGCTTGGCCAATGGAAGCATCCATTACATAAACAATGTTATCTGGTTGCTATGAGAAAGAAGAGGCACACAAAATAATGTCCTGCTTTCTTTAACAGCATTCATGCATTATGCTCAGTCGCAGAATTTACTGTAACAGCAGTATGTAAAGGCTGTGCCATATAAAACAAAAGGACAACTGTTTTATGAACAATATTGTGTAAGGACCATTTGAGAGCTCTGTATTGCTACGCGAAACACTTATCTACAACACAGAATATTAAAATGTAATAGATTTAAAGTTATTTGTGTTTCGCATTATTTTAGTCAGTATCTGAGCCAATAAGCTAATTGGTACACACAGGCAATTAATAGCTAAAAACATCTTCCATTCAGTTTTACATTAAAAGCTCTAAGACATCCATTCCTCTGAAAACAAGTTAACCATTAGCAGGGCTTGTGTGAGTGTCATATTGTCATGCAAGGCCACAGAATCAAACAAGTAACCAGACTTTTTAAACCCATACAAGAAAAATCAGTTTCCTTTACATATCACAACTGTTAAAAGTTATCCAACAATATTCACTGTTTCAGGCATTTATTTATGACTATCACAGAAAACTTAGCTACAGAAAACCAGACCAGACTGGTTCTTTTATCTAGTTTCTCAATGCAAAGATCCCGTAAAAAAAAAGTTACGGGCAGTTACAGTAGTCTAGTTATGTGCAAGCATCCTTGAACTGCAGATAAGAGAACTGACAAAACTATCAAAAGCACTGATCATCCAGCCCCTGTTTATTTATTTGTTTGTAATTTCTAATATAATCCAGGAGCTAAAAAGCAAAATCTACACACATTAGGAACTAAACAGAAATGAACTGTAGTCAAATTACTGCAACTGAAGTAGTATTTCTTGAAACTACTCACTATAGCATTAGCAACTTGTAACATCTCTTCAAACAAAGAGTCTTCCTGTTTGTGACGTCCACTCGTATCAACGATGATTATTTCAAAGTTTTCATTCTTAAATTTCTCAACACCTTCCGAGGCAATAATTACAGGATCCATTTCTGTATAACTGATCACAAAGAGAAACACCCAACATATATATATATACACACACAAGTAACATATAATTCTTTGGTCCTAAAGAAACTAATTCAAACTTTCATCCCTTTACTGTAAACTTGTTAACTGTAAATCTCTCTAGATTTCAAGAAAGACTTTGTTATGTCAAGCAAAAAATTTGATTAAAATATGCCTTCCTAAGCCACCTGCTCTTACTACTCAGTGAACTGAAGCACTGGGCTGTCTGTCTCAGGTGCTGAAGACCGAACTAAGTTCTACTAGACTTTCTCTGAAATCAGATTTAACTGAGCACCTAGACAGTACACCTTCAGTGAAGCTTGAGGAAAGTTCTTTGTACTTTATAAAAGCTGGTTTAGGTCCACCACTGCCCGTATTTGACAACAAAAATTAAGTCAAAAAATCATATCCTTTGACCTGTAAAGATACTTTCCAAAACCCTGAATGTGTCTGGTAAATGCCTATAAATTGCTAGACACTGAGAGAACATTCTAGGGAATTATTCCTAGTTGCCCGATCTCCTCTTACACCATCCTTACATGCTGCTGCTGCTGGCACATAGTACGCTGAACTCAGCAGAATCTTTATCCGATCAGAGCAAAATAAAAAACCCCAAATAAAGTCTAAGTAATCAGGCAACACCGAATACAGCTTAGCACGAGATGTTCAGTAAGGAAAAATACATCGTTAGAGTTGAATCATTCTTCAAACTCATTCTGAAAGATGCTTACCTCCCATAAAAGGGAATTCTTGCTTTTGTGGCATTCTGCTTTAACTGGTCAAAAGCACCTGCAAGACAGCTATAGTCAAGGAACTATTTAAAAAAATAAATCTGTAAGTATTAAAAGAACCACATCGTTAAAGACTGTATTACCTGCTCTGTAAGTGTCTGCACATATTAAACACGTCTTCCAACCTTTCCTCTGATAGAAGTATGCTAACTGTGAAAAGATATTCAAAACAAGTAGTCACACGGTGTCATGCTTTTGAATGGGATTTTGGTGTAAGAGCTTAAGTCAGTGAAGTACATACAGAAGAGACACAGTCAAGGCAGCTTTCCTGTAACTGAGGCCACTTAGTTACACTGCACAAATACCAAATGTTAGCATCTCCATTATTTAGAAAAGTTATGCAAATTATTAATGGCAAAATACCAGCTGCTTGACTCTGCTTCCGGCTTCAGTTCCCTGAGCTAGGAATGGCTACAAGTAATTCCAGTTCCCATTTTACTAATTCCAGGATTCTGCTTTCTGGTAACACTGCAGATAGGAGTAGCTTTCAGAAATTACCCAAAGCAAGTAGGTACTTCAGTGCTAAGTATTGTAATGGCTACAACTTGCACAGCTCCTTGTTTCTGTACTTCCAGAGAAACAAAGATATTTCCTTTGCAAGGACATGTTTTAAATCAGTTGAAGAAATCCTTACTTTCTTCTAACACTCAGCTTCACTGGTACAATGTACATTCACAGAACATTATATTGACCAAAGACAAACTTCCCAAATATAGTTCAGCTACAGAAACACTACAAAACTCTTATGAAATTAGGCTATACTGAATATAACACTGCTCTATGTGTGAATCTCAGAAGCAGATGACTGAAGAGGAAAAAAAACAACAACAAAATGCATCAGCCTTTTTTTCCACAGGATAATTTTTCCTCCCAATAACCACCATAAATAGGTTAAGCACTGACTCGGAGCATTCTTTTTCAGCCTTAAAAATACAAATCCCAATTTCCTTAATGAATTTGCAGCTGGAAGAGGTTCCACACTACCCACTCATACTTAAATGAGATATCTAATAAAGGCTAACTTCTACTGGTTCCCTTAAATAGATAATGTAAGGATAGATTACATTCCTAGTACTCATCTTAAACCCAGAAAACAAAGAACAGAAAGAATCTTTCTTATTCATATCCAGTATTGTTTCATCAGGAGTTTGAAAAGATCCTGAAGGCAGTCCTACAAACCATAAACTGCCCCAGAAGAATATTACTTTGGACATTTGTCTCATCTCAGAAAGCCCTCTGTAAAAATATCTCTACATTGTAATCACTTAGTACTTTCCTACTAATAAAGAGCACAACTCACAAGCAAACTCCACCAAAGGAGTCCAATGACCACCACTTCTCACAAGGAAAAAAAAACAAAAGACAACACAAGCAGATGCAGTGCAAGTTACCTTTGAACAGGTTGTAGTTTTACCACTTCCTTGCAAACCAACGAACATTATAATATTCTGTTTTCCTTTGGTAGGTGTCCATGCTTTGACTCCAGGATCTACAAGCTAAAGAACAATGTATAAAATATGTCACAGAACTGAATCTCAGAAGCACAGAACAGTCAGTGTCACAGTCATGCTGGGTATCCGATTTTATATTCAGTAGAGCAAAATATTTTTGCAAATTCTAGTCTTAATTTGGCTTAGATGCTTGCTGATTTACAGTGAGCAGCAACAGTCTACGCAAGATCTATAGTATATAGCATCATGCATAATCATTCTGTAACTTAATTTCTTTCTAATATCAAGCACCAAAGACAGGGTGGCCCGTATAAATGGCACAAGCATAAGAGACACATGACCTCCACCCCACCATCATTGCTCAAGGCAGATCTCTTTTGGTGAAAATTCTACAGCACAGAAGACTTTAAGGTTGCCACCTCACTTGTGTCATGAGTAGAAAGCACATACATTCCAGTGAGCCATCCTATGGGTGAGCACAGATCAGAGAACAACAAAAGACTTCCCTGCTAACTGAAAAAAGGACAGAATCCTGAGGTCCAGGTGCTGATCTGACAGAGCAGGTAGAATAAAGAGAAACATCACCACAAACCATGGGTTGTTACTTAACAATTCTTCACATGCTTGTTAAGTAATTTGACTAAATCTTCATTAGGTAGCAAAGGCATGTTTCTGGGACAACCAGAGACAGTCCAGAAGCTTTACCCTTATTTTGTCTCTAAATTTCATTTGAAAAGAAAGAACAGCTTAAATTCAAGCTAGTCTGACAGATGCCTACAAAGGGGTTTCAATCAGAATAATACTAATGTTTGCAATAGTAAGATGCCTTAAAACAGAAAACTTAAGTGCAAGTACCACACAATAACCTTGAAGCTTGGCTTGCTGCTGTACTGCTGTCACAGCCCAGGCAGTACAAGAAAAGGGACATAATAGAGAAATTTGAAGTCCTACCTTAACAAGTTCCTTAAAGACCGCATGCTGAATCATTTTTCTTTTGTTAAGGCCAGATGCCATTTCTTCAAGATCAATTGCAGACCTGTTTAGGAAAACCATGAAACTTAGCGTAACTTAAAGCAACGCTTTAACCTAGTAATAAGGTTTTGCACTCCAATCTGCCTTGATATTTTCTGATAGGGTGTACAGAAGAGACATGCAATGGAGATACTACTTCTGCATGTCAGACAAAAACAGATTCCCAAAATACTTGCATCTTTCAGACTTCCATCTACTTGAATTACACATCTGAACACAGCCAAGGTAACAGTACTGGTCATATACACAGATCTATTTATATTCAGTAGAGAACATGTGAAGATGAGGTGTCTAGGAAGTTACAAAGAACTTGCTTATTACAGTACTCAACTGATTACAGCAACATCTTTTTGAAATAAATCTATAAGAGCAGTAACTGGCTAAATTTGACAGATTCTGGTGATGAAATCAGCTAGATATTTAGTTCAAACTGTTTTCCTATTAAAGGTAAAATGGGTTTGTCTAAGAAAACCATATAAAACTAGAAGTTATTCTTCTGTAACTTCGAATGAAAACTGTTAATAGCATTAGAAGTGCATTTTGATTATGTGACTTACTTGACATTTTCTCTGAGTTGCTTCACAAGTTTAATATTAACATCAGCTTCCAGTAATGCTGTACATACTTCTTTTAGCATAGCATTTAAAACCTTTGGAGTATAAAAGAAAAATGGTTTTACAATAAACTGTACAGAGTAGGCCAGTATTAGTTCAAAATAAGAATATGAAAAGTATATTTATGATATAACCAGGCTTTTAGAAATTAAATGCATGTAGTCCTATAATTATATTGACTGCTACAAAAAAGTAGCAGTCTTTGAGACAGCTATAACAGAAAGACACAAACAAATCTCTTAGAACAATCTCCGTAAATAGAAGTTTTCCTTAAATGCAGGAGGGACACATTTCTATCTGCATGCTCAGCAGAAACTGCCTAAAAGTCATACCACAGTCCGAACAGATGCCTCAGGAACCCAGTTTAATTGCTCTAAAGACTTTTCAAAGCGGAAAGTCTTCAACAAAATCTTTTTCTTTAGTGTTTTCACCTGTATAAATAGCCTCATTTGCACTGCTTTGAGCTTTGGCAGGAGAAAAATTTCCACTGCTGAAAAAAGACTTAACTGGGCTGTATTTGATTTAGTTAAAGATTTGTTGTCTCTTAGCTGAAGATTTATTAAAACCATTCCTCTATGCAAAAGTTCCAACCCTAAAACCCTTAAGATAAGCCTACTTTTTAGTTACTTTAAGCCACCAGACTGCCTACCTGAAAATAAGTTTCTAACAATTTACTCAGAGGCCTTTCTAAATCCTTCCATCAGTTTTTCACCTTGCTTTTCATTTTCAGTCCATAACTGAAAACACTTAACGTACAATTTCAAATCCTTAATTTAAAAAAATGCAGAGTACACCAAGTCAAACAGCTTCCAGAACTACACACAGTATTGGCCTGATTATAAAGGCAGCAAACATAACATACTCAAACTTCAGACAAAATTTACACTGAAAGCTGTTTGTTCTTCCACACTTCAGCTTCTAGCAGCCTAGCACACCTCCCCACAGTCTAGCTGCGTGTACACACACAGATAAAGCAGAGCCCTCTGTAGTCGCACCGCCCGCCTTCCGCACAAACTTGGGCACATATTGGCTCCTCCAGCACCACCTCAGAACACTACATCTCCATGAGTACACCCACCAGGCTCAAGGACCCTTTGACCGTGGGACCCACTAAGTCCAAGGCAACTACACACATTTAAATCTGGTTTTAAGTTTTGGCTGTACTCTCAGGCAGTTAAAAACTCTAGCTAGAAATTCTGCTTGGAGGAAAAGAGCCTCGGGATAACATCAACCTACTTCAAGCTTCTGAAAACTTTCTCAGAACTTTGCTTTCTAAATGTCAGTGTTATCACATGTGCACGCTACATACCTCTTCATTGATAATCGTAGCATTGCTCAGTGAGCGTAATGCTGAAGTTATTTTTCTTCCAAGATCTGCTAGAACCATCTTGGCAGCTTGAAGTACAACTCAGAAGAATCTGGAAAACAATTAAAAATTAAATTAAATTAACTTGCCTTCGCAAATTAATTATTCCAGCATTTTTGGGTTAAGACACCTGCTTTACATTCCAGAAAGCACAGAAGTTTTACTTTTATAGAGTTATTTTTAGGAAATATTAGTCTGAAGTTAATTTTAGGCTATCCTGATGACCTAGTTAAAAATAGAGATACCATATTGAAATTAGGAAGCATTTCACTGTCTGAAATATTTGTACTGAATTCACCATGAAAAAACAGTCCAGACAGACTTCCAGACAGAACACTAACTGCTTTTATCTTACCAGCAATATAGTACATTACAAAACAAAATCAAGCAGAACAGCCTAGAAGCTTTGCATCCTGCAAAGACAGTATGATGAGAAGCAAAATATTTTGCTAGCAAAATTGAACACTATTTGTTGGTTCTATTTTACCTACATTACACTAAATGAATTTCCCATTTCAGTAATCCTACAATCGCACTGGCATTTTAATAATCAAAATTCACTTTGTATTTTTTTAACATCTTCAACAGAAAACAAGTTTATTTTTGCTCACTATCAACACAATCTTACACATAAGCTTAAAGCATACTGCAGCTTACAGTTAACAAACCATAAAAAGTTAAAGTCTGAAGGGTACATGCAGACAACATACTAAATCACTCCATCTCCTATACAACATGGTGAGATTATCAGGAGAACACATAGCATAAACAAGCAAAAATTCCAAAAAAGGGGGCAAAACCAAAATTTCTCTAAAGATCAAAATGTTGCAACACCACAGTTACCACCGAAACAGAGCACTTGAGATACTTCTTGTTTATCTTTCAATTTCACAGATATTTTCTTGTACCCAAATGAATCTACTCCCTCACCGATAGCTGAATTTCAAATTTCACATTTGAGCTCCTCCTTTCAGAACTGAAAGGAAACTAGGAAACTTCCCAATATTGAGAGCCTCTGTAACCAAAGTAGCTCAGAGTTTTCAAGGTTTCTGGGACTTCCCCCTCTCTCCCACCAAACGAGTGAAGGAAACAGACAAGAAAGGCTGGTCCATTCAAAAAACCGAAGCATACATCATTAGCTACATTATTATTTAGTGACAGAGAGGGTTCCAACCTAGGTAAGATACAAAACAGCTCATGATGTACACACACTGAGATTTACTACCTGCACAGGCCCCAAAAAGCCAGACTTACCATGTGTTTATAAAGTCATTGACATAAGCTCAATGTCCTGACTGCTTTGCCTAATTGAGTCAATAGTGTCATGAAGTTGGCAGGTTAAAAAAAAAACAACAACAAAAACCCCAACACACATACACAAAAAAAACCCCCCAAAAAACAAAACAAAGAAAACAAAACCAACAAAAAACCCCTTCTGATACTGAGGCCACAATGCAGAACATCTCCAGAAATTTCAGATTATGTGGGAGAAATAAATTCAGTCTAAATACAGGCCTCAGGCATAGCAGACAATGCAAATACATTTGCACATTTTAGATTTGATGTACATCATGTGTACAAGCAATTCCAAAGCGATATACATTACCATGCCATCTTGCTATTTCATAAAATAATTAGTCTATACTTCTTAAGGAACTCGGCCTGTAAAATATTTGCACAGCGCTACACTAACAGATATGTATGCCCATCTTTCTGCTTTGCTGGAAGAGAACTTCTGCATGATATCTGAAGAGAGGAAACTCTCAAGTTTTTCTTACAAGGTACAGACCTCACACTCTTGCAGAATAACTCTGAAAAAAGCATTATTATCAATGTGATCTACCAAAGGTGTCAGCAAATCAGATGTTCAAACTGTTTCTCAGCTTTACTTCCCATGAAAATCAGAATGTAACAAAAGCCTTCAAAACCAGCACTGCACTCCAGTAAGCTTTGAACTGCTTAAGCTGTAGCCATAAACAGAACTTAGCTAGAGCACTTGTATACAAGAGCTGAGAAACTTGATAGGATGACTAATAAACAGCTGTCAGGTGAACATTCAACACTTAAAATTAGTTTCCAGAATTCTACAGATCTCCAAATACAAGTTATTTATGTCTCACTAAGTGAATGTTTCTACTGCAGAACAGCCTTACGATAACAGTAACGCAAACAGTATGCCAAGGGAATGAGTTTAACCGTTTTAATATCAACTGTTTTCTCTAGCACATTAAGGATTTATAAGCCACCAGAACTACTATGGGATGTGAAGCACAGAAATAACTTTTCACATAGGGTCCACTCAAGTCGTGAGGCACGCTACAGACAAAAGAATAGATAAATTGCCTTAACAGGCAGCCACCTTGGGCTGGCAGGTAGCCAGAAGAGCATTTGTAGTGACTGCACTGCAGAATGTGTATATGCTGCACTCAGAGCATCTGTGGTTCTGGAAGAGCTTTTTCAGCTTCCATGCAGCACTCCACAAATGTACTAAACAGGTTTAAATCTGGCAGGGCCCCATAGTAAACAACCCAGGCTGTACCAAGCAGGCCCCGTGCTGAGCAAGGCTGCGAGTTCGACGCAGTCGGAGCTGCCTTCAGCAGAAGCAGCCTGAGCATCTCCATGCTGAGCTCCCAGCTCGTCATTCTACTGCACAGAGACCCAAGACCTCTTCGCTTGCTGCTGAAAAGTGGGCATTTCAGGAATAAATGCACAGGAGAAATAGCAAGGTTTTATTAAGCTATAGCAAAACAGCAGTGAAACAGCTCTGAAGAAACAGACTGTCTAGCCCTGGCTTACCTCTTTGGTATATGCCTCGATCTAAAATGTGTCTAGCTAAACTAGCAGTACTCTTTAACGCACAGAAATTTTAAACAGTACTAGGGTTAACAGACAATAGCTGTTTCAAAACAGTTGTTTAAAAGATAACAAGCAAAAGCAATACTTATTTAAAAGTCCGTATGATAAAATGACAGTACATACTTATATACACAGGTTAAAAACCACTGGGAGTTTAATATTATAACAAACAAAAAAAAGGCTGATTCACAGGTGAAAGCAGCTTGACCTACTGCAGCAACACTCAACCTCCTAGCTTACCGCTTCTAAAACTATCTGACAGATGGACAGGAATGCACCTCCCAAGCCGCAGCAGGAACTGGCTTTAT